AATAGAAGTAAACATGTTTGGGACTCAAATTTTAAGCTAAATTACACCGAATGATAGTCGCAAATACTTCAGTTTTAGAAATTAAAAAATATCTAAAAAAAATAACTAAACTTGTATTTAAGTATTATTATATTTCATTATATAACTACAGCGAACTCATTAAAATTATTTTTTTTCCTTTCCCTTAGTATTCTTAGCAATAGCAAAAACATTTTAATAATTCCTTGTTTTTGTGTTTTCAGAAATCTAAAATCTACTCTACAACCAGCCATGTTTTATTCCTATCATGATTCTGTAGTTGACTATTATAAGGTCGACGCCTTACACGTAGCTAAGGAAGTCTGCAGATGTTTCGATGAAAACAAGGACAACTACACAGACTTTACCGTCAACGTTGGCAACACCAAGTTCAACTGTCACAAGTTTGTCTTAAGTTCCTGCTCTGGTTTCTTTGAGGCTCTCATGAGGACAGATAAGAGATCAAAATCTGAATCAAGTTGTACCATACACGGAATAACGCCAGAAATATTTGGTCTTATACTGGATGTTTTTTATAAAGGGAAGAATGTTTTAACTGAAGAAAACATGCTTGAAATGTGGCACGCGTCTACTCTACTGGAAATCACATTTTTAATTTCGGATTGTGCAAACTTTGTGAAAAGGAGAATAAACTTACAAAACTACTGGCAAATATTTATTGAAGCTAAGCTGTTGGATTCTTTCGTCGTTTTGAAGAAAACTAAAGAGTTTATGGTGGATAATTTTCAGAAGATTGCTGAATCCGACGTCTTGATGCAACTTTCTTTTGACGATTTAAAATATATTTTAAAACACGATTGGTGTTTTAGAACTGATTGTGTCGTGCAGGCAGTTTTGAAATGGACGTGTTCAGATGACTCTCATCTGACTAGTTCTTCTAATAAATGCATCAGAGCTTCACATGGGAAAGAGATTGCTGCTACCTTTGACCAGGATAACATAACACTCCGCAGGTCATACCTTGGTCAGTTGTTTGCTCGATTTCCACTGAAGCACACTTCCACGGAGTGCCTGATCAAACTTTTGAACAATAAATTTGTCTTGGCAAATTTTGTTGCTATAACTCAAATAACCAGGGTCGCATCTATTAGAGAAGTCGCCACAAAAACCAAAATTCTGAACGTAAAATCCAAAACGGCGGTTCAACGTTTTAAGACAGCTCATGGATTTCTATTTTCCATACTTGTTCTGTACATTTTAATTTTCTATTTTGGTTTTCAGTCCTGCTAAAGTGTTAAATTAACCTACTAACCGTGCTGTTTATAATACAACAAGTTTCTCTGCTGCCTACCACAAACTACCCCCCCCCCCCACCCCTAAACCTATCGATATTTAAAAATGCTACCTTGCAATTACTTTCTGAATCACAAGTATACTTAGCTCTAAACATTTGATTTTATATTTAAAAACCAATAATTTAATTGTTTTCCTTTTTTTGGAAACTACAACGTAGAATTTTTTATAGTAAACATGTACAAATGTAGTGGTATTTGGAACCACTCATAAGTATTTCTTAAGCTTAGTTGACTAGCGGCACAGTTAAAATACAAACTTGACGAAGGCCTTTACAGTTATAAAACAGCTATATATTCACAGAAAAACGCATACATAAACCAAACAATTGACCATTTTCATATTATTTAATCAAGTTTACGGCCAAAAAATTTTCAATTTGTTTCATGAAATTTGTAAACATGATTATTTAATAAGCTATCATAGTTAGTCCATCATTAAAGTTTCGCCATAAAAGATTAGTATTTGTTTTTTAAGTGCTATAGAGCAGACATTACTGATTTAAAAGATATATAAAACTAAATGAAATAAGCGTATCTGATATAACGATTTGATAAAGTGACACATTTTGAGTGTGATCTACATCATTGAATGTATGTTTGTGTGTGATCTACATCGTTGACTGTATGCTTGAGTGTGATCTACTTTGTGACTGTATGCTTGAGTGTGATCTACATCATTGACTGTATGCTTGAGTTTGATCTACCTTGTGACTGTATGCTTGAGTGTGATCTACATTATTGACTGTATGCTTGAGTGTGATCTACATCATTGACTTATGCTTGAGTTTGACCTATCTGTGACTGTATTCTTGAGTGTGATCTACATCATTGACTGTATGCTTGAGTGTGATCTACATCATTGACTGTATGCTTCAGTGTGATCTACATCATAGACTGTATGCTTGAGTGTGATCTACATCATTGACTGTATGCTTGAGTGTTATCTACATTATTGTCTGTATGTTTGTACGACTCACATAACATCGCGTGTAAACTGACAATAAAAAACTTTGTATTACCATGACGTGTTTCATGATGTGTTTTACCTAACTTTTATTCACAGATCACATAATACACCACTGAATCATAGATTATAACTAAAAAGTTATTATTGGCACAAAAATCTCATCACTGTATCTATATATATATAAAGCAAAGTGGTCGGGTGCCCGATAGGGCACTTCCCGGCGCCGCAGGCGCGTCAAATTTGGCACGATGGTGCCTTGGGGCGATAGAACACGAGGGTCGGTGACGGTTGGCCGAGAGGGGGTCAAAACTGACCTCAACTGACCGGCGCCTTATATGGGCTATATTACGAAAAAAAATTTTCTCCGACGACCCCCCTTGAAATTTTGTGACGTGGTAGGAGAACGCCTTGGGGTGTCAAAAAAAAACCCGGCATATCTGGGAAAACTTCGTAAAGGGGTAAAAACTGCATGTTCGACTAGGGAAATTGGTGCGCATGAATGCTGGTGCGAAGCGATAATATTGAACGAGTGAAAGTGTGACGCGGTACGCAAGAAAGTGGCGTTTGAGTGTGAGTTCGTTGTTGCCAGGGAAGAAGCTTGAGTTAGTCTTTGTTATGTTAGGGATAGGGTGTGCAGTCTTAGTATCGTTTGTTCAAGCTGTCCGATGTCTATTTCTTATAGAGCAATAAATAGAATTAGTAAACAATGTCATTCTGTCAAATCATTTGTAAGCGTTGATGTAGTCGTGTCTCAAGATGCACTGTTGCATGGCTAGACGTAATGAAATGTTAGTCGTACTGAAATATAATATTGGATCAGGTAGTTTTATAATATTGGATCAGGTAGTTCTACCCTCTCACTGCATAGCTGCGGGACACATATAGAACTCAGTTATAACAATTTCTCTATATAATCTTTGTATTTTATTGGAAAACCAGAGGGTCATTTCAACGCGGATTTTAGGGTACTTAAACTCAGTATATCTGGCTAATTTTTTGCATACTCTTAGGTAAGTGGCTTGACCTTTAGGTAAAATTGTCGGTTTGACTCAAAGCCCTCGACGAGGGCTAAAAAGTGACTGCGAGTGAAATTCTCTTTATATGAGCTCTATTACGAAATTTTAGGGTACTTACTCTTTGTATAACTGACTAATTTTTTGCATACACCTCCATAGATGACTGGGCCGTATGGAAAAACTGTAGGTCAGCATCAAAGCCCTAGAAGGGGGCTAAAAATGGCTGCGAGTGAAATTCTCATTATACGACATTTGGTCTATGAACAGGGGAGGTAACTTTTTAATAAAACAATTTTTTAATATTTTGTATACTCTTTTTGAGAAAAAACAAAAATCATAAAGTATAGCATTGTTTAAAATGGATATTTTGTTATAAATACAGTTTTGTATTGTATTGAAATTGTAAAATTAATTGCAAAAGTAATATAATATTTGATTGATAATTTTTATGAAAGCCCTTTCAGTTCTAATAACCTTGCGAGTAAAAAGTTTGCGAATATTCCATCAATTTATGGGTTCAATAAAAGTACCCCACTGTATAAATTTAGGCCCTAAGCATTTAACATAACAGCCAATCACCTATTAATTAATCATTCAATTTCTCAACTTTTTTGAAAACCTAAGCGAATCTAGGCAGTATGCCTAGTTAGTTATATTTCTAAAAAAGTATGAAGTTTTAAACAAAATTCATAAGCCGGAATTAAAATCCGAGGAAATCTTTTTCTAGCAGTGAATCATGAACAAACAAGGCACGTACATTTATAATGTATAAAATCATTAACAAGTTAATTTAAATTTCAATATGACCTGGTTAAGGCTAGTATGTTCAGTTTATATTACATAATCGTGCCGAGAGCTGAATATTGTTTCGGTTTGATTGAATTAAAAAAAAATCTAAATTATTACTAAAACCATAAAATTTGGTGAGTTCAAAAGTCATACAATTTCATTCCGAACATTTTATACTCACTTCTGTTTAAAATATGACACAGGATTATCAAATTTATTAATCACTCCACTAAGAATTATCTCGTTGATAGTATAGGCTTTAGAAGCGTAACGTGCATAGTTCAAAGACATCGTATAAATCCCAAGGAAATGGAATTCTAAGAATAAATCAGTTAGTGTAAAATCAAATGTTTGCGTTATAATAACGGATTTGACAATTTGAAATCCATCGTTCCTCCGTGGAATTTATTTGCCTACTTGAAACCCGCAAGTTAATATTCCCATAGTATATATTAATCAATCCCCATCATAATCTTTTCCATGGGGCAGATGAAGTCGAGTTCATCTGTTTCTGTGACCTCGGCATATAAAGAGATAGTGTGGTCAGTATTTTGCCCAGCCGCCTTTATTTTCCCTAAAGTGAGTCAGATATTTATCAGAGCTCGGTGGATTCGGGAAGTTCTATTGACATTCTACTGACTTAAGCTGACTAGCTCTCTACCGCCGTCCCATTTTTCACTCTATACTGTAAATAAATAATACCCATTAGCAAAAATGTTGTCGTTTAGTCATTGGAGATCTGTTTCTTACACACGACTATGTTAGTATCTGCGTTCTATACACATTGAGCTGTGCTTTAAAAGATGTCGTAATTTAATAATAACATTACCTCGGGGATTTCCAAAACAGCGTTCTTTAAGTTTTGGTGCAAACTTAGTTGAACATACTGTTGTTGTCGCTGAAGTCTAACAACGAATGCCATCTACATACTTGGATTTTATTTGATTTCTGAACTTTGTTTAAGAAAGGTAGATTTATACCATATTACAAATGCGCACAAAAACGAATAAATCATTTTGTTAGTTAATAAGTAGGGTTTGAGTAAAAAATCATGTGTCTCTTAGTGTGAATTTAGAATTTTTAGATCTAGACTAGCCGTCCCGGTCAGGCCCTGCTCTGGCTTCTGTGATAAACCTTTCTGTTAAAGACCATTACCTGTGTTTTTCGTAATCATCATAAACCCGGCATTGCCCACCCAAACCACAACCAACCAAAACCAAAAAAAAACAAAACGCAAACATAACACAATTACAAATACAAACGAAAGCAAAAACCTAACAACAAACCCAACCACAACCACAAACACCAATATAAAAACAAAGAAAAAACAAAGAAAAAAGCAAACGAAAACAAAAACCTAATAACAAACCCAACAACAAACACAAACACAAACCCAAAGAAAAAAACACAAACGAAAAAGCAAACGAAAACAAACCAAATCCAAACGCAAAACCAACCACAAACACAAATAAAACACAAACCCAAAGAAAAAAACACAAACGAAAAAGAAAAAAGAAAAGACAAAAACGAACCAATTCAAAACGCAACCACTAACGCAAACCCAACCTAAACACAAAGAAAACACAAACGCGAACATAAACGCAAAGTGCTCACAGTCTAGCCCGGGGCAAAATCGCCTGTTTCAGCTTAATAAACGACTATAGTACCCCAACTTATTCATAGTCTTTTGCACTCACTTAAGCGAACGTAGGTGCCAAACCAAACAAAATGAACAATTTTAATACTCCTAGCTTATCCGCAAAATACCTACAACATTTGCACTTGATCAATCCCCGCTAATTATGTAATTTTTTTTCCCAACACCAAAACAAAGTAATAAAAAGTAAATTGTTTTCCACTAATGCAATGTTTTATAAAGGGAAGTAATTGTGTTTTCCTAATTTATCAAAGGGAAATAAGTGCTAAAGGACTAAATATAAATAATTTTCAGACATAATAAGAGTTTTTGTAAAAGATGATATTTTTAAAAAATTGTATTTAATGAAAATTCCCACAATTATTACTATCAGTTTGAAAAATGAAAATTATTTCCCAACACTTTCAATAATAATTTTTTAACTCAGATTAAATTTAGACCTACTTATTTAGATCTACTTATTTAGGTGTAAAGTCTCGAATGTTGCATTAAATACTGCGTACGATGTTAATTGTTATTACAAAAAAAGTGGACCGAAAATTGTAATTGTTTTTTTTTTGTCGGATTTTACTCAAGATTTGACAAATTTGGATTTTTTAAAACTATTTTTCGTAGATAAAGAAAATTTTAAAAGGCAAAAGCAACTTGGATTTTCACATAGTAGTTAAGGCATAAACAAACTAACCCTGCTGCTAAAATAAGCTATCATGCATTTAAATAACAAGGAAATACTGCACTTGCGCAGTGACATTTTTAAAAATATAGTATTAATAATAGCAGTAGTAGACGCTATACTTTAATAACACATTGACCGGGAAGTAATTAATTTGATTTTAAAATAATTTGGCCAAGTTTACAATAGAAACATATTCCCGAATGTTTCACATTCTTTTCATAATTTGCAAAGTTTGTTGTATTAATTATTAACATATTGCATTTTGTTTATTCTTTCCAGGTTTAAGTTTAAGAAAAAAATCGGCTGTTATAAGAAAAAATTACCAAAAACACATATTTTTTTTAGCATAAATATCAACAATAAGCATCGCAGACATTGATTTCAGTCAGTTGTCTCCATTTTCTTCTTCACTTTGTATAAATAATGTTTAGCTAACTATAAAATATTATCCTTCCTCAAAAAGAAGATAAAATCAAATGATTTTCAGGTCTACGACTAAACTGTTTGTGTGACTCATATTTGAGAGTACCAAACGTCTAATAAACGCGAGTTACCACAAATGCATAATCTTAATAAAGCAGTATCGCGCCCTTATATATAAAGAAAAACAAATATACACAATTTATAACAAGATTTTAAATGCACTAAAAATAAGAAAGAAAAAACTAATTTGCTTTTTAAATAAAACATTTTGTTTCGCATGAGATATCTTAAATATTTTTTAATGATTCGTTTTTTTCCTCAGAAAACCAACATCTACAGTTGCCATGTTTCATTCAAATCGTATTTCTGTAGCTGACTATCACAAAGACGATGACTTGCACATAGCTGAGGAAGTCTGCAGATGTTTTGATAAAAACAAGGAAAACTATACAGACTTTACAGTCAACGTCGGCGACACCAAGTTCAACTGTCACAAGTTTGTCTTAAGTTCCTGCTCTGGTTTCTTTGAAGCTCTCATGAGGACAGATATGAGAGAAAAATCTGAATCAAGCTGTACCATAGAGGGCATCTCACCAGAAATATTTGGTCTAATACTCGATTGTATTTATAAAGGGAAGGATGTTTTAGACATGGAAAACATGCTTGACATGTGGCACGCATCAAACCAACTGCAGATCAAATTTTTAGTTTCATTATGTGAAAACTTTGTAAAAAAAAGTGTAAATTTACAAAACTACTGGGAAATATTTACTGATGCTAAGCTGCTGGATTCTATTAACGTCACAACTAGAGTTAAACAGTTTATGGTGAAAAATTTTGAGAAAATTGTTGAATCAAACGACTTCATGCAACTTTCTTTTGACGATTTCAAATTTATTTTAATGCACAGTTGGTCCATTTCAGCCGATATTATTGTAGAGTCAGTTTTAAAATGGACAAATGTAGATGACTTTTACCTTCTACATGAGCCAAAATATTTTATCAAAGCGCCAAACACTGAGTCAAATAATTGCCATCTAAAGTCACTTTGTAGAAAAGGAAACATTTCGAAAAGTGACCAGTTTATGGAAGCATCATACCTCCTTTCACGGTTACTTGTATATGTTCCTCTCGAGGGAGCAAGCGACGAATGTTTAAACAAACTTATGAACAACAAATTTGTCTTGGCAAATGATTATTCCATAACTCGTGTAAACAGGATCGTTGCTTCAAGATTTACTCTAGAAAAAATTAAAACCGAACAAAATGCTTGTAAAAGACGTGAAATCGAATTCGGTTTTGCCACAAGCAAGTTATAAAGATGATTTGGATTATATCACACAAAAACTACTTAAATTTCCATAAACGACATATGCCATGACAGAAGAACATCCTCTGGTATACAAGGTCGCTGCTGCAAGATTTAGTGAGACAGAAACAAACGAATATAATTTTGACACATTAATCAAGAGAAACAAAATGTTTTTAAATCCGAAATTATATTTGCACACATCAAGATCTGAGGATACATTTCTTTTTTCCCCCGAATTCTACCTTACTCAGCTTTTATTTCTAACAAAATAAAAAAAGAGCAACCGAAATCAGTTGATGGACATTATCAAACTGCAGTCAAACTTGTAAAATCAGTCGGCAGACTTACTCTCAGTGGATTGGAATTCGGATGTTTTTGTTTACTAGGCCTTGTGATCGCTTATTTAGTTAATTGTTTAATTTTAAAGGTGACTATTAATGTAACCTACCAACAGTGCAATTTATAGTTTAACTGTCTGCTGACAACCACACTATACACACCATTCACAACAACCACAACAACCAAAACACCAACAACAACCACAATAACCACAAAAACTACAACTACAACAACCACAATAACCATAAAATCCACAAAAACCGCAATAATTACAAGAACCACAGTAACCACAACAACCACAACAGCCACAATAACAACTACAATCACCCCAACTACAACAACCATAACAACCACAACAACCACAACCACAACAACCACAACAACCATAAAAAACACAACCACCAGAACGGCCAAAACTATCACAAAAACCAAAACAACAACAACGACCACAACAGAAACATCCCCGTCACCTAAAACAATCTATCGTTCATACCCACATCTTACTGTTACTGCATATTGAAACACCAGTATCTTTAGCCCTAAAGATAGGTGACAACATATTAAGACATTTGTTCCCCATTTTTAAAAACTTTACTATGGATTTTCATTGTTTAATTTAACATAGCATGTTTGGTGGTAATTTATTGTTCAATCATAGCTAGATTGATTCGTTGTAAGTTTGACTTTAGTTCTATTTTTTAAGTACACGCTTAACTGATGCATTTATGCTGCCGGAAAAGCAACCCATTTTGATTGTATTAGGCCTACTTGATTCAGCTGCTCATTTTAATACAGTTTCGTTTATATGTATACATAGAACTGTGTAATAAGCTGCCATTTTAGGATAACAATCACGTGTAGTCGCAAACAATGTCTTTGGTTTTATGATAATAATAGCAGTGATGTAAACAGTAACATAAAAAATGAAAATTGCTATATAGGATAATAGATAATTTTAGAACACGATGTTGAATCAAGAAGTAAACACATTTTAACCAGAAAGTGAACACATTTAAAGAACAAACTGTTCACTTTTAAACAAAGAAGTGAGAACATTTTGACTTTGACCTATCTCATTGACTGTATGCTTGCATGGATCAGAGAACATCGGATATAACTTGGCACTAAAGAGTACGTCTATGTCCAGCAGGAAGATCAACGAAAACATGTATGTTGGGACTATGCAATCTATAATGTTTTTATAAGTATGTTATTTTACTAATTAAATGATAACTTGCAGATAAAAATGCGATCATTATAATAAAGATTTAAGTAAAATAGTTTTTGATACCTTACTTTAATTAATTTGAAATGATATATAGTACTTATAAGCCAACAAATCTAATGCTAATAGATTTTCTTATTTTGAAAATGTGAACATTTTCCAAAGGGCTTCTTCTTCTTCTTCGTTCTTAATTTTAGTGTTTGAAGGGATCCCCCTCCAACACAATTAAGGATACGTGTCAACTGGTTATGCGCCATTCGTTGACTCCGATTTCAACCTGCTTTTCTTTTTGCATTTGCTTCCATAGCCTTTGTCCAACCAAGAACAAACTACAAGGCAGCAGTTGTTTGATTTTGGAGTTGTCTCTCCTAGAAGAGTGGCTGTCCCCAGCTAACGAGCCTCATCTGCCCGAGGGTTCGAACTCGAGACTTTTCGGTTTAGCAGCCTTGAGGAGAGAATGTTTTTGTGTAGTTGTTGTGATTGTATTCGTCGTCGTATTTCCTTCAGCAGAGTAGGTGTGTGTGTTTTTGGAGGGGGGGGGGGGTGTTACTCGTTCCGCAAGTGATAGTTTGCATTATTGTAACACTAGTATGGTAAAAGGTAAAGTTACTCTTTAAAACCGGACGTTCTGCCGGACAGCTGAAGTAGAGTTTACTCTCTTTATTTACACCGGCATTTTAAGAGATAAATCTTTTAGCACTATTCCCTATCTCATTTACTTTACCTAACGCGAATGAAGTACTGAGTGGAACTTAAAAATCTGAGGACTTAAGCCCGGAATACAAACTCAAATAATTAGAGTTAGAAGTCACAAGCTCAAACATCCTACCATGCTATTCCAAGATAACACTATCGTTTTTTTTTTTAAATTAAGTGTATTTGTTTTTATATTTATGATTCATTGAATATATAATTAGTTTAATAAATATAAATAGTGTTTCTGTGATATCATGGGAAACTAGCAAGTTTGGGACAATTGTGTCAGAACATCTACTATAAACACAAAACATAGGTGAGAGTTAAACAAAACGGGAGTAAACTCCCCTTGAACTTTCTCGTACATTCTTATGTAACAGTGAATTTGGATGACATTTCCAGTAGCATGGATAGATAGAAATATAGATTCTAGAAGTAACATTGGCTACACTTTATGAAAAAATGGTGTAAAACCGGAGGTAGAGTAAGTATCACAAACAAGACACAATATATACATACATATATATATATATAAATATATATATATATATATATATATATATATATATATATATATATATATATATATATATATATATATATTTATGTATATATATAAATATATATACATATATATACATACATATATATATATATATATATATATATATATATATATATATATATATATATATATATATATATATATATATATATATGTAAATAAATAAATAAATAAATAAATAAATAAATAAATAAATAAATAAATAAATATATATATATATATATATATATATATATATATATATATATATATATATATATATATATATATATATTTTTTTTTTATATATATATATATATATATATATATATATATATATATATATATATATATATATATATATATATATACGGCATTTCATTAACCTTAACAAATAGGCCGTCAAGTTTTTTTTTTTCAAATGTATAATTACAGAAATATGTAAAAACGACACACAACATTTCTAAGACTCAGGTGTGCAGCCCCTAGATTTTTTAGACAATTTGATTTCGATGTTTTTATACGTTTCAAATACATTATCTATACTTCGCATACAATAAAGTAGAATAAAATAACAATGCTTGACACGATGTTTTTTTAAATTAATTATTAAAATAATAGTATGCAAAATATTCGGGTATTCCCGGCGCCGCACATTAAAATTTGGTGCAATCGGAAATGAAAATGTTTGTTTTATGTCTGGCTACTAAGAAATAAGTTAGATAAACCTTTACTGTCCTATACAATGTTTGTAACTATTCAGCATTGTTTAAGTAATTGGTGCTAATAAAACAAAGTAAACTGTGAGTATTTTTCAGCTTACATAATAAAACATGACTTTTACAATACGATGACCAATCTCAAGACGGCTTAATAATTTAGACCTAGACGTAAAGAATATAAATTTTTCTGATTAGCCATAAATCTAGATCTAGATCTAGATCTCCAATTTATAAATAATTTAAATTTAAACATAATAAATAAGAAATAATAATTTGCCATTTTAAATATTAATTTTGATAAATTTGCAAATCTAAAATCTTAAGAATGTGTTAGCTTTAATTAACTTACAGAAATACACATATTTTACTCAACGAATGACAAAATTCATACATTACCTAGTTAAGGCCAGTTTTTTAAATTATTGCGCTGGGACGAAAATAAACCTTATTGTTTTGTCATTCATTTTGTTTTAGTTACCAAATCTATTTCTATTATTTTAATTCTGCTTTGTTAACAGACATACACAGTCCATTTAAGTCCAGGTTTTGATTTCGAATTTACAGGTTCTCCAATTTATGATCCAGTAGCATCTATATATATATATATATATATATATATATATATATATATATATATATATATATATATATATATATATATATATATATATATATATATATATATATATATATATATATATATATTCTTACAGAAATTATGTTTTAATGTTGTTGTAAAATTTTTACGTTTGTGCCAATTACGTAAGAGGAGACCAAAATGAAAATTTAAAACTTTAAATTTAAAAATTTAAAATTTTTGCAGAAAAAGTAAAACATCATCTACAACCGCCATGTATAAAAGTATATCCACCGCTCACAATTACGACGCGCAAATGGGAAAAGAAATCTTTAAATGTTTTGAAAAAAACATGGACATATTTACTGACTTTACAGTCAACGTTGGCGACTTCCAGTTCAGTTGTCACAAGTTTGTCTTAAGTTCCTGCTCTGGTTTCTTTGAGGCTCTCCTGAGGACAGATATGAGAGAAAAATATGAATCAAGCTGTACCATAGAAGGCATCTCACCAGAAATATTTGGTCTTATACTAGATGTTATTTACAAAGGAACTGATGTTTTAGATGAAGAAAACATGGTTGAAATGTGGCATGCATCAAATCAACTGCAGATTGAATTTTTAGTTTCGTCTTGTCAGAAATTCGTAAATGAAAACATAACGTTGCAAAACTACTGGAGCATTTATGAAGCAGCAAAGCTTTTAAATTCGTTTGGTGTATTAACCAAAGTAAAAAAGTTAATCGTGAACAATTATCCAAATGTTGTAGGATCCGACGACTTCATGGAAATTCCTTTCGAAGAGTTCAAAGACCTTTTAAAACACTTTCGTATTGTCGGAGATTTTGTCGTAAATTCAGTTTTAAAATGGGCGTATTCGGATGACTCGTACCTCACACCTGAGCCA